TTGTGGTAGTGGTGGTGACGGTGGTAGTGGTGATAACAACAACGATTAATATACACAGGGAGATGGTGATAATGGTAGATGTTTTAGTGGTAGTAGTTGTGGTGATGCTACTCATAACGATGGTGACAGTGATGATGATGGTGATGATGGTAATACTCATGGCGGTGGTGACAGTGATGATGGTGATGATAATACTTATGGTGATAGTTAATTGTGGTTATGGTGGTGACATTAATATTGATAATGAGTGATGGTGGTGATAGTGATGATCATGGAGAAGCAGTTAGAGGAGATGGAGGAGAGGGGTGGGGGGGAGACGACGATAACCAACTTGTTTACGGAAATGGAGTAGAAGGAAGGGGTTGGGCTGGAGGGGGTGTGTTCTGGGGACGGGTTAGGTGGTTGGATCTCCTCTCTCTGGGGGAGGAGACTGGGGGACCTTCCTCTCTGGGGTAAGTCGGTTCCCAGGTTCGATTCTCCTGACTGTCCCATGTTGCTTGCTCAGGGTGTAATTTCATCCCTCTGTCTTTTTGTCTCTCTCTCTCTCTCTCTCTCTCTCTCTCTCTCTCTCTCTCTCTCTGTGTTTTTTCTCTTCCTCTTTTAATTTCTGTCTTTCTCCCTTTCTCTGTTTGTGTCTATACCTGACTGTCTCTCTCTGTCTGTACCTACCTAGTCCCCTTTCTCTGTCTACCTGTCTGTTTATATCTCTATGTTTCTGTCTCACACCCTCACCACACCCACACTACACTCTCATCACACCCTCACCACACCCTCACTACACCCTAACCACACCCTCTCACCACACCCACACCCTCACTACACCTCTCACTCACCACACCCTCACTCACCACACCCAACTCACCACACCCTCACCACACCCTCACTACACCTCACCACGCCTCCACACCCTCACCACACCCTCACCACACCCTCACCTCACCCTCACCACACCCTCACTACACTCTCACCACACTCACCACACCCTAACCACTCACCACACCCTCACTACACTCTCACCACACCCAAACCACACCCTCACCACACTCTCACCACACCCTCACCACACCTTCACCACACCCTCACCTTGACAAACAATAAACTACCTCACTACCCAATGCTATCAACTGGGCCCTCTATTACAAATCAATTAATCATCTAATGGTGACTTAACGACCCATTAACAGGAGGTAGAATGACCATTAACGGTGATGTATAGAACGATCATTAACCGAGATGTACTATACTCTATTGGCTATTAGCTCGTGAAGTCATTTATATTCAAAGACCATTGAATTGTAACCACCATTGACTTGAACAATCTTTGTATCTTTATGGTGCTATCTATCTATCCATCTATCTATCTATCTATCTATCTATCTATCTATCTATCTATCTATCTATCTATCTATCTATCTTTCTATTATAAAACACACACACACACACTCTTAACAACCCTCCCCTCACTAATCACCATTAGCCTGAATTACATCACACGGCAGTTGTTCTCCCCTCCCTCCCACTCCACCCCCTCATTAATCGTACTATCCAACGAGGAGGTCATCAAGACTCCCGGGGTCACGGTCGGGTCACGGGTCGTTAGTTACGAGGTCAACGAATGTCTGACGGTAAAGGATTGTGTAGTAGCGTTGTTCTCTATTTGGCTTCTCTGTCTTTCTGTCTATCTGTCTGTTTACTCATTTGTCTTGTCTATCTGTCCTTCTGTTTCTCAGTTTTATGTATGTCTGTCTATTTCTGTTTTTGTTTACATATTCGTTCGTTTGTCTAGTTAGCTTTCTATTTTAGTTCATCTGTATACATTCACCTTTCTGCATTTTCCAGTGTTTATCTGTCTGTTCTATTATATATTTATTTGTGTCCACGTCTGTCCATTTTTCAAACTATACGTGACTGTCTACTGTATACCCATTCATTAACTTGTCCGTCTATCTATGTATATCTGTCCATCTATCTGTTACAAATTATCTCTAAATTAAGCTATACAAATACAGAATTACAGGTGTAGGTACAGTTGCAGGTACAGTTACACAGTTGGGAGACGAGTGTAGTAATTCTTCGTATTTAATATTTTGTACCCCCTCTAAACCTCAGTTCTAAGAAACATTACACCTTCTGAACAAACCTCATAGATGCCTTATACCTTATACTGAGGCCCCACGTAAACTGTCTCGTGTCTAGAGTTGTGCATTTGACGATAAACACTAGGATTTTTTTTTTATCAAGGAGAACTACAGTGGAAAATTGGTGTAACAGAAAATGGAGCTTAGAGTTAAATTTCATGGTTAACTGAGGTATTTTGGGGGAGTTGTTGATCGTGTTGCCTCGTGGATAAATTAGGATCTACAGTATAGTGACTCTGTTGTTTGAAGACCCTGGCAGGTGAAGCACTTGAAATTATGATATAATGAACTGTGCTTAAATATTTAGGGGGATGAAGCACCTAGATTTATGGCCTAGTGAACGGTGCTTAAAACTCATGCCAGTTGAAGTACCTAAAACTAAGACCTGGTGTGCGTTGTTTAAAGACCTAGGCATACGAAGCACCTAATTAAATCAAAACTACAAAAACATTAACAACAACAACAAATAACAATAACAATAATAAAAACAATAACAGCAACAGTAATACGGCAGACTAAACCCCCTCGTATGGAACACAAACACACACACACACACACACACACGTACAATAAAAGATGAAATACCGAACAAAGGATAATTATTCAGATTTATGAAGACCTGACAATACCTGTCGTTCCCCTGGTCGATAGACATAAACAAACAGTCATCGTTCAGACATGTCGACGACAAGTTGGTGCTGAGATGACAACAATGGATGACGTCACAGGTAAACAATAGACCTGATTGGACGTCCGATTTCTCTTAAAACTCTCAGGTAACACCACCCCACTATACCCTCCCTTGCGCCGCCTACCCTCCCTTACCCCGCCTACCCTCCCTTACCCCGCCTACCCTCCCTTACCCCGCCTACCCTCTCTTACCCCGCCGACACTCTCTTACCCCGCCTACCCTCCCTTACTTTTTTTTTGTCGAGAAAGGATGGGTGAAAGAAGATTAGAGGTGGGGGAAGGAAGTTATAGTTCGGAAATTGAAGAAATTTTGGAAGAGGTAAGAGAGGGCGGGCTGACCGCCTAGCTAAACTAATAGTGTGTTAGGGTTGTGTCATGGGTTAGTTATTGTCTGTCGACACAGGCACTAGACATCCTACCCTGTCCCATACATGGATGTTTTGAGGGCCTTATTTCGTATTCCGCCGACCCTACTGGCGGATGTTGGTCTCGGGAGGTTGTCTATTGCCTGGCCGTATAGATCGGGGATGGTAATGGACCATTTGAGATTTGGTAACTTTTGGGAACCATGTATGGTTGTTGTCGTTATCTGGTGGGGGTCTTTGAAGGAGTTCTTGGTCTGATCGTTCTATCTTTTGCCAGACTCTGCTGGTCAAGGTGTGCAGCTGCTGGTTGATGGGTTTTATTCTCAGGTCTCTATGTATCTCGGCTGTGGTTCTGGTGAAGGGGTATTTTTCACCTGTAACGAATCTTAGGGCTTCATTTTGGACCACCTGTAATTTTAATATTTGAGTGGTGCTCATAGTATGAAGAGGTACTGCTGAGTAAGTTAATATCGGTGTGATAAATGATGTCACCAGGCGGAGTTTTATTTTCTCAGGAAGCGTTTTAAGAGCGGTATAGTTTTCTCAGCTCTCTTCTTACCCTTCTACCCTCCCTTACCCCTCTATCCTCCCTTACCCGCCTACCCTCCCTTACCCGTATTCTTCCTTATTCCTAGTCACTATACCTCCTATTCTTCCTTAATCCTAACCATTTCCCCTTACTTCAGAACCCCTACATTTACCTCCATCCTAATCCTCCTAACCATCACCTATCCCCATTATACCTTATACTCTACTCCTAGCCCTTCCGCCTATAACCTCTAGCGTACCTATCCTCTACCGCCTGACCCTTACCTATCCCTTGCCTCCATTATCCCGACCCTTTAAATCGTAACCAATTCTCATTTCTCCTTCCCCATACATGTACACCCTCTTCCCCCCATACATGTACACCCTCTTCCCCCCATATATGTACACCCTCTCCCCCCATACGTGTACACCCTCTCCCCATACATGTACACCTCTTCCCTCCATACATATGCCCCTCTTCCCCATACATATACACCCTCTTCCCCCATACATGCACCCTCTTCCCCCATACATGTACACCCTCTTTCTTACACATGTACGTACATCCACCCCCCTCATATACGTACACCTCGTCACCTCCATACATGTACACCCCCTTACAGTGACGTCATCCACCCCCCGGTAATGTTGTTGGTTGGCGCTAACGAGAGGTGAACACCGTGGGGGGAGGAGTAAATGGAGGGTAGGCTAGAGGAGGAAAAGGAGGACACAGGGATGAGAGAGAGTGAGAGAGAGAGAGAGAGAGGTGGGGAGAATGAGAGGGATGAGTGAAGTGTGAGTGAGGGGAGAGAATGAATGGTAAGTGAGGGAATAGTGAAGGTTAGGAGGGAGAGATGGGTGATGGGAAACTAAGGGGAGAATAAGAGAAAGGGGAGAGTGATGAGAGAGTGAGGGGGGAAGAGGAGCAGTATTTGGTGGTGGTGTTTGAGGCAGGGCGTGGCTGATACCTCCTGACAGGTGGGGTGGTTCCCCCCTCTCGCTAATGGACCCGCTCCCGGGTGGGGTTGAGGTATGAGGGTGAGGTATAGGAGAGGTGGTGTGTGGAGTGGGATGAGGGGTGGGGAGTAGACACACACACACACACACACACACACACACACATACACACACATACACACTCACAGCAACTTTATTACACCATTCAGTTTACATTAATACACATTCATATAGGCTTTCCTATTTTAGTACGCATCCTTATAAATACATATTCGTATAGGTCTATAATTAATACACATTCTCATTTTTCACATCGTTACAGAGACAACTCCTCGACCACCTCTCTCGGCGTGATCATCAAGTGTTACATCATAATAGACACACTCGAGTCTATGTCACCAGCACGTCACACTGTCACCAGCACGTCACGTCGTATTGTCACCAGCACACATCCAGGGGTTCGACTAGGGGCACTCTGGGTTGACCATTGACTAGCGACCCTTGAGCCAGAAGTACTGTTGAGGACGTAAGTGTGAGCTGAGGCCATCTGTTTGTTATTTATCTCTAGTTCTTACCTGTCACTAGTACTGTACCTCCAGACACACTCATTCGCCCCTTCCCTCCCTCACTCGTAGCTTCATAGACTCCCTCCCTCACTAGTAGTTTCATAGACTCCCTCCCTCGCTAGTAGTTTCATAGACTCCCTCCCTCGCTAGTAGCTTCATAGTAGCATAGACTCAGTAGATAGACTCCCTCCCTTCACTAGTAGCTCCATAGACTCCCTCCCTCGCTAGTAGCTTCATAGACTCCCTCCCTCACTAGTAGCTTCATAGACTCCTCCCTCACTAGTAGCTTCATAGACTCCCTCCCTCACTAGTAGCTTCATAGACTCCCCTCCCTCACTAGTAGCTTCATAGACTCCCTCCCTCACTCGTAGCTTCATGGACTCCCTCCTCACTAGTAGCTTCATAGACTCCCTCCCTCACTCCTTCTTCATAGACTCCCTCCTCACTCGTGCTTCATAAGACTCCTCCCTCGCTAGTAGCTTCACCAGAACTCCCTCCCCTCGCTAGTAGCTTCATAGACTCCCCTCCCTCACTCGTAGCTAAGACTCCCTCCCTCACTCGTAGCTTCATAGACTCCCTCCTCCTCGTAGCTTCATAGACTCCCTCCCCTCACTAGTAGCTTCATAGACTCCCTCCCCTCCTCGTGCTTCATGGACTCCCTCCCCTCCTCGTAGCTTCATAGACTCCCTCCCTCACTAGTAGCTTCCTGAACTCCCTCCCTCACTAGTAGCTTCATAGACTCCCTCCCTCACTTGTAGCTTCATAGACTTCCTCCCTCGCTAGTAGCTTCATAGACTCCCTCCCTCACTAGTAGCTTCATAGACTCCCTCCCTCACTAGTAGCTTCATAGACTCCCTCCCTCACTCGTAGCTTCATAGACTCCCTCCCTCACTAGTAGCTTCATAGACTCCCTCCCTCGCTAGTAGCTTCATAGACTCCCTCCCTCACTAGTAGCTTCATAGACTCCCTCCCTCACTCCTTCACTACAGTAGTACGCTAAACACACTCCCTCCCTCCCTCCCTCTCTCCTTCACTAGTACCTCCAAACACACACTCCCTCCATCGATCACACGCCTACAAGACAGTGTTGGACTTTACGCCATAATGACAAAAACGGACTAACAATTGTCACCATTTCTCTTCGTGTACAATGAAGGAAATAACATGACTGGAGGCGGAGGACTCGCCGTGATGTTGTCTTCCTCACGAAAAGCTGCCTCTGCCGTCGTTGGTAGTGGTGGTGGTAGTGATGGTGGTAGTGGTGGTAGTGGGTTCCTCAGCGTCCCAGGGGAAATACACCTTTATGTCGTAGATGCAGAAGACTTTGTTTTACCCGGAGTTGTGTTGCTGTTCTGTCACTGAATGAAGACGTGGGGGGGACATTTGAATAGACATGTCAATTGAAGGGTCACGTAATAGTGGCGTAGGAGCGGAGTGAGCGCCCCGCGACACTCGTCCTTCTGGCCTAGGGGACCACAGAGCTCAGTCTCCGCTGCTCTCACGCCTATTCTTAATTTTGGCTGTGACGTCCACGTATTTATATCAGTTTTACAGATGAATATACATCAGAAATGAACTCTCGCTCCGGTTACCTCAGCGACCCGCCGCCCCTTTTATGTGCGGGTCACAAAGTCACCACATTTTTAGGGGACATCCAAATGGTGAAGAATTTTTGTTTTTATTTTTATTTTCTTTCTTTTTTCTGCACGTACAAAACTTCTTACAGTGATACATTATATACTTACGTCATACACTATCAATATCTTACTCAGCCTTAACGAAGTAGATTTGATACGGGTAAATGGGTAATGTTTTAGTGATAGCCAGATGAAGCGGCGGTAAAGATCCTTATGTTTACATGTTTTCTTTTTCTCTCTGTTGTGAATGCTCGTCTATAACTCACAATAACTAACTTCAGCACACACACACACTATCTTATTATTCACCCAGACATTAACACACACTCTCAACAATACAGAACTCACAGGTGAACTAACACAAACGCGGCAATAGTTGGAATTTTTCTGTCAGTTTGGAATGAGCGTTACAGTAAGTCTTCCCAGCTACACCACGTATCTCATTTCCTACGTAGATTCTAACACACTCTTATATCTTAACCTCTTACAGGACTTTTTGAATAATAATATATTTAAAGTACATATTATATTTTTTACGTAGGTACTTAAATACTTATTACTTAAGCTTTTACCGCCCCACAGTCTAAATATTTTTTTTTTATACGTAACTTTTCGTGGAGGTAATTTAGTTGTGTTTCTTGATGAGGGATTTACAGTAAATATATTTTAATACGTATTTTTTTATCCCTTTCTTCCAAACATTATTTTTGTCGGTGTTGTGAGCGTTTTATCTCTCTTCTTTATCAATTATTTTCATACATATGGTTTATTTACATTGTTTGCCTATCTTGATTTACATATTTTGTATTTGAGAGATATTTTCTATTTATTTGTATAACTAGTTGAATAATCAGTCGGGTGAGGGTAGGCATCCGAAGACTTCATCCGAATTTTCGAATAACCATCGTCCGGTTAATGGGAAGTAACCCGAACCGAATTCCGTATGTTTGGTAGTAAAAACTAAATGAATAACGGCTCGAAGGATCGCTTTTAGGGTACTAATATAACTCCCCAATGTTTATAAAATGGCCGTCTTTCTCATAATAATAATAATAATAATAATAATAATAATAATAATAATAATAATAATAATAATAATAATAAAATAATAATAATAATATACTGTGTTATTATTATTATTATTATTATTATTATTATTATTATTATTATTATTATTATTATTATTATTATTATTATTACGCAGATTTCCCCTAAGCATCGTGATTTGTGATTTGCAACTTAGTAAACAGATGATTTTACTCACACACACTCGATAAACAGATCACGGGGGGGTGGGGAGTGATGGAGAGGTCGTCCAGCCCTTCTCTGTGAACTTTTAAAAGCGACACACAACTACGACTACGGTGACAAGAAGGTCGTACACTGGTGCCAAATGGTGGGCATTACAGTGTTGCCAGTTGGTGGTCGTACACTTACCAGATGGTGGTCGTACACTCGGTTGATGATGGTTATACACTGGCCTAATGGTGGTCGTACACTTGCCTGATGGGGGTCGTACACTGGCCTAATGGTGGTCGTACACTTGCCTGATAGGGGTCGTACACTGGCCTAATGGTGGTCTTACACTGGCCAGATGGTGGTCGTACACTGGCCAGATGGGGGTCGTCATCCACTGCAGTATTATTGATCCTGTAGCCGTGTGTAAGGAGGAGGGGGGGGGGTGAAAAGTCCTTCGAAGGCAAGACACAAGCACTTGAGGCTAACCTTCAAGGAGGAGGTGTTTTGATTGATTGAACTGCCCTGCTTGCGTCACACACACACACACACACACACACTTGATAACTTGTTCCTGCTTATGTTGCTTCCGTTTTCAAGCAGGTTAGTTGCTTGAAATCGCTATAGACTCACTGATTGCTTGCTTACTTTCTTGCTTGCCTGGTGCTTGATTATATGGTGTTTTCCTTCTAAGGCAGAACGCAAACACTCTCAGAATATGCTTTGTTGCTTCTCAGTTTGTTTGTTTGTGCTTTCCACAGGGAAAAACAGTTGATTGGAAACCTATGGATGTTCCCCCAACAAGATGATTGTTTGATGATGTGGGAGACTTGTTTACTTGCTTGCTTGTTTGTATCTTCTACAGGAAACATAATAACCACACACACTAGGGGATCTACACCAGTAGGTCTGTTGGATAAGGCATTTGATTATTGCTTGTTTGAGTGTCCCTTGTGTAGATTTGTGTTGTGCTTGGAAGCGCAGATTACTTGACTGCTTGCTTGTTTGTGTGTGCTTTAAGTAAGGAAGTCAGACGCAGTTTGGGGTACATCTTAAGGGCATTTGCTTACTTGCTTGTCCATTTATAGAGTATATCTTAAGTGGCGGACTTGCTTGCTTGCGTCTCTCATGAAGATGGAGAATGAACACTACACAGAGGCGGTGCTTTAAAGGTCCAATGCTTGTGACTGTGGGTGCTTCTCTCGCCTCACTCCCTGCCTGCTTGTGCCTGATGGGGATAAGAGACCGATATGTATTCAAGGATGTGTGTGTGTGTGTGTGTGTGTGTGTGTGTGTGTGTGTGTGTGTGTGTGTGTGTGTGTGTGTGGATGTGTGTGTGTGTGTGGATGTGTGTGTGTGTGTGTGTGTGTGTGTGTGTGTGTGTGTGTGTGTGTGTGTGTGTGTGTGTGTGTGGATGTGTGTGTGTGTGTGTGTGTGTGTGTGTGTGTGTGTGTGTGTGGATGTGTGTGTGTGTGGATGTGTGTGTGTGTGTGTGTGTGTGTGTGTGTGTGTGGATGTGTGTGTGTGTGTGTGTGTGTGTGTGTGTGTGTGTGGATGTGTGTGTGTGTGTGTGTGTGTGGATGTGTGTGTGTGTGTGTGTGTGTGTGTGTACATGTAACCATACACATGTCTACACATAACGGAGATGTCAGTCTGTATGTAAGCGTGTGATAGTCTTACTGTATTTATCACCCTTAACCCTGGCACTCTTCACTCCCTCCACCTCCTCAACTACCCACCAAACCACCACCACTACCACCATCATTACCACTACCACCAACACCACCACAACCATCCACTTGTGACTTGTACCACTACTACCACTACTACTACCACCACCACCATTATCAGGACTACTATCACCATCACTACCACGACCATCACCACCACTGCCATCGTTTGACCCCCTCCCCCCCCCACCATCCACACCCTGGAGGCGTTATGATTGGTCCCGATGAATAACAGTATGAATACGGAATGAATTACGTTATGTGGTTAATCAAATCAAAATAGACTTTTATTCGGCCGTACTAATCTCCAAATGGCCAACGT